TATAACTAGTAGTCTAGTATATTGTCAAAATGAAGCTCTTTGAATGCAATTACATTTCATGATCATAAGTTATTCACAATCTTTGTTGATATGAAGCATACTCTACATATAGTGTCATAGTATGTGCATTGAGTTGTGTAGGAATAAACATAACTTTTGGCTAACAAACAAAACTATAGGTGACAGTGACTGATATTGTAGAAAGCACAACATGATTACATGCATAAGTACCGGTATAATACATTTGCATGTAGTTACAGCTGCTGCAACTAATGTAACTACAATGCTATAGTTGCATAAACTACATGCTCATGTAAATGTGCATGTACATAACTCAACAATGACTATTTGCCAAAAACCAAAGGCAAATTAAACGATTTATAAGTTTAGTATTGTAAATCTCTTAAAATAATTTTTAAAAATGCCCTGTATCTTGCATTATTTAATTAAATTACATTTTGTGTGACAGACTTTGCTATACATAATGTTCATTTTACAAAACTTTTTATCAGTGAATATGTAAAATAATTGTATTTGCAAAATAGATCTATAAATGTCATATGGCACTTATAGTAAGTAACTACAAGACTTACCAGGAACATTAGCACATGTATTTTGTTGTACATCAAGCCTATTGTAAGTAGAAGTGTCAGCTACATGATGGAAAATATAATGTCCATGATAAATAATATTTTATTGTCTTACTACACTGGATTGATATACTGTTGGTGTAGGAGCAACTAGTCACTGAAGTGTTGGGACAGTTGTTGTGCTCTTTAAAACACAAATCATATCTAGTACTATACATGTTAGAACTCCAAAATGGCAAACTGTCATTTGAATCACTAAAAATAATTTTACACAATAATCATTAGTGAACAAATTGCAATCACATACTATGAAAGATGAAAAAATGAGAATGAATCATATCCCAGTTGCTTGCAGATAGTGTTGGCATCAGTAGAGTCAAACCCATCACTGCATATTGTCCCCCACTGTCCATTACAATAAACCTCAACACGTCCTTCATTAGAATAATCTCCATCTTGAAGACGTACCATACCAGCATATGGATTACTGTTCCATATCCTTGTGGTATCTGTAAAAATATTGATTAACAAAATCTAACAATAATATCTTACAGCAGTATACAGTAGCATCATAACTGTTACTATTAACACAACCATAGTCAATGTAAGTAGAATAGGAACATTGAGCAATAGATAAATAGCTGCTACTGGCACAGTTAACATCATCCCATTTCATAGAAAGATAATCTGTACCATAACTACAGGGCAAATTTTACCAGTATATCACTCACACTTTTATATACATGTACCTAGTTAGTCCAGCTCTATAGTAACTTGAAGCTCCAGTGTATCCCAACTGATGACAAATGACATTAGCTTCATAAGAGGTATAATAGTAATCATCACAAATATTACCCCAACCATAATAGTACACCCTCACTACTCCATAGTAATAAGAGGTTGAAGACACATTATTACGAGATAGAATAATAGTCCCTGCAGCAGCTTGAGCTAATTAAATTTAATAATTTAAAAGTACACGTAAATAACACTACTATAATTGCAATGAATTGCTCTCACAATAGTATTGATTACAAGTTGCAGCAGTCACAGTTCGTCTTGTTGAGATAGATTTTTCACCTAAAATAAAGAAAGTATGATATAAAAGTGTGTTAAGCACTCGACTAGATTGACTTATAAAAAAATAAATGCATATTGAAAGGTATTAACAGAAATAGAAATAGATTTTAGGAAATTTAAAAATGCTATAAGGAGGTCAAACCATGACTAAAATTGGCATAAAGTGTGCCTAGCATGGTTCATTGTAAACTTATTGTATTTTCCAAGTAAAATTTTTTGAAGTTTGATCATAATTGTACAATTGTTAAAATAATACTTTTGATCTTAAAGAAAGCAAGACTTATACTAGCATTTCTCAAAATGTATCACACAAATCATTTTAGTAAGAATAGATGTAGCATTGCCACTGTAAAAAATATTTAATATTTACCACAATTGACAGCAACTGCATTTTTACAATTTGACACCAAAGATGATGGACAAGTATCAGTTACAAAGCAAACATCAGTGGGTAAATTAGGAACAGAGCGACTCCATACTGTTGAGTTATTAGAATTCTCATGTCTACAAATGGAAAAATACAACTAAGTAAATATCTCCGGCTTTTAATTAATTTTAGCATACAATGAAAAATTATTAAAACTGAATGATGTATCATATCCCAGTTGCTTGCAGATAGCGTTAGCATTATTTGAGTCAAACCCATCACTGCATATTGTCCCCCACTGTCCATTACAATAAACCTCAACATGTCCTTCATTAGAATAATCTCCATCTTGAAGACGTACCATACCATCATATGGATTTCTGTTCCATATCCTTGTGGTATCTGTAATAATTCTGATAAATGTAGCAATAATAATATCTTACAGCAGTACACAGTAGCATCATAGCTGTTACTGTTAACACAACCATAGTCAATGTAAGTAGAATAAGAACATTGAGCAATGGATAAATAGCTGCTACTGGCACAGTTAACATCATCCCATTTCATAGAAAGATAGTCTGTACCATAACTATAAAACAAAAAAATATTATTATTATAATTAATAAAGAGTACCTTGTTAGTCCAGCTCTAGAGTAACTTGAAACACCAGTGTATCCCAACTGATGACAAATGACATTAGCTTCAGTGTAACTATAATAGTAGTCATCACATATATTACCCCATCCATTATAATACACTCTCACTACTCCGTAATAATAAGAAGGTGATGGTACATTGTTGCGAGTCAAAATAAGTGCTCCATTAGAAACAGAGCCTGAATTATAAAATTACAAAAAATATCATCAC